AATTTCGTTTGTTATTGTTCTTGACCTATCTTCTCAAACACTTTCAATGGAGCATGTACAGAAGAAAAAAAACAACCCGCAAACAATTTGAAAATTTAGTAGAATTTGTGGACAAAAATAAAGTTTATTTTCAAGACCATTTACTAATTGTTCTAATAAAGCTAACCTTATGAGACCACCAAAAGACATATTTTTCTTTTAAGTTAAAAACAAATTATAGCTAAAAGACTACGCTCTGATTAAACATAGTTGATTTATTTATTCCCCGAAGTTAACTTCGAGGGATGCACGTTAAGTTCGATAGCGGCATGTGATTTGATGCTGTTATTCTGAAGCGCTATTTCTTCATATAACGTTCGTCGATAGCGTGCGCCTGTTATAATATAAAGGTTTTACTGATACAACACACCAGTTGGAGCCACATAACGTGTTTGACGAATAACATGCACGTTAAAGTTAACGTGAGTGATACAGCACAGGGCTGATTTTATTGAATATTCCAATAGTACGTCAAAAACTGGGAATAATTTATATAAAACATTTTCTTCGATTTTGACAGATGGCGCTGTAATCAATCTATTATCAATTTTTTGCTTTATATCGGTTGAACTATTATTTTATTGACACGCTTAAAATATTAGTGTGACCAGTAGCATCTATTAATATCAGAGGAATATTCAGTTCGAAAATTGTTTCATGATGAAAATCAAATGTGTACCTCCAAATCTACAAAATATGTATTTGTTAATTAAAAGATAATTGATGAATTGCAGCGCCACCTGTCAAAATAGAAGAACATGTTTTGAATAGATTATTCTCAGTTTTTGACGTACTGTTAGAATAAATCTCCAATAAAATGTTGTGGTTACTATTAGAAATTTTTAAGTTGGTCCCTGCCTAACCTACAAGGTCGAAGTAGGCGTTGTTTTTCTGACACGAATAAAAATCCCCCTCCCAGATATTAACTTCTTATTTGAAACGTTTTTTCCTCGGATCACTTGTTTCCAAAATATTTACGCGTTTTAAGACAAAAAAACCACCCTGTATATGTTCGTTATCTGAGTTACAATACCTACAATCCCTGCAGAGGTCCTTTTCTAAAAAAAATGGAAAGCCGAAATATAGATCTAACCGAGGCCCCCGACATCGTTTGTCCCTCCATAGATCCAGTGCTGCTTCCCACTCTTACAAACTATATACACCCAAACATATTTATGAATAATAATCATCAAAGTTGCTCATTTAAATTTTTTCTCTCTACAATTAAAAATGCTGGGTCACGTAGATGATCTTGTTCCATCGCTGATCATAGATATGTCAAAGTTAATTTTAATTTGCTGAATGAACATTTGCATCTAGCAATTGA